GAGGTACGTTTGGGTCAAATTATCATCTGAGAGATAAAAGATGAAAGCTGAGTACATCACTAGTGTCCTCTACTTTCCAACTATAAAGGGAAAGTAGCTTTTTGTTTGGGTTTACCTTCTAGGATCCCCTTTGAGGAAAAGGATTAAATCAAACTGTAATGTAGGTGATTTTGTGGTGTAGATAAAAGCTTAGAGGAGCTTTTCAGAAAAATTATTGCATTTGAGGTTGCTGACTGTGACTTACAGCAATACAAAATGAATATGTTATTAACAATATAATTTATGAAAACTAATTTCCAACAAAAATATAAGAAAAAGGCAGTTTTTAAAAGGCCAAACTCATTTTGTATACTACTTTTTTCAGAATAAATACAACTTTATGTAGGAATAACAGTATATTTTATTATCCAGTCAATACATTTTAATCTGAAAACTCTACATTATTGTTTTTATTTATTATTTATGAAGTGCAAGAGAATGATACAGCAGCATATGATGCACACACTATAGGCTCAGCCTCTGCCTTTGGGAGTATATAATCAAAGATAAATGTAAATAGGATTATCCCACAGTTGCAAAACAGATGACATGGTCCCTCTTTGCCATACTAAAATCAGACATTACTAGGACTAAGTAGATGCTCTCTGCTCAGGTCTGACCTTGTTTGACACACTTACGTTAATATGACCTATTAACTGTTTGGTCTTAGTATTCATTTAAGTCCAGGCAAAGTGAGGCTCAAAATATAACTAGTAGGTACCCTTAAATCCCAAATTAATAATGAATAAACGCATCGATAAGATCCCAAGGTTAACAAAGAAAAGTACCACCCCTACAAAATAGTAAGTCCTCCTCACTAAAATTAGAAAACCGTGAGTGAATAAAGGGAAATAAAAACAAGTCCATTTTCAGAAATGAAAATGAACTAAATCTCTCCAACTCAATACTCAACACTGTTGTAGAGCCTTTTAGGACCTAACATCCAATACTATGCCTAGAACATAACAGGTCCTCAAGAAATATTCACTTTTATTTTCATATGCTATCTTTGTCCATTAAAACAGGTTTTGGTTTCTGCTATTTCAGAGATGAACTATAATTTATAGAGATGTATTAATGATTTAAAACCACAAGGATCTCTCCCTCTTAGAGGCCTGGGAGAGAAAAATGGAGTTAGCAGACTTGTCCTCTGCCTTGCTCTCCATCCTGGCTTAGGGCACTTAGTAAAGTCCTCAGGAAATACTAATGGCTAGAGAGCCGTACCTTCTCTGAAAATTTATGTTATAGTCAGACTTTTTTTTTCTATAAACTGTACTCCCATGGAACAGGAATCTCTTTGAAAGCTGGTCTAGTATATGGGAGTGGTACTGAAGTATTTAAATACCTCATTGTAATTTTTTTAAAATAAAAAAAATGTTGTGTTGGCTTATTTATTTAAAACTAATTGACAAATCAGGATTATATATAGTCAAGGTATATAACATGATGAATCGATATGCATATATACTGTGTAATGATTAACCCCATCAAATTAATTAACATATTCAGAACCACTCAGGTACCCCAGGGCTCATGCATCTTAGAACTGAATGTTCTGCATCCTTTGGCCATCATCTCTTCATTTCTCCTATCCCCTGTCCCCTTATGGCAGGACCTTGGCTCCATAGTCTAAAATTATATGTTGAGTCTATCAGAAAATAGGACCCCATTAAAATAAAGTTCAAATAAAGTTTACAGCTAAACTTGAAAGCATATTAAAACTGGTGGGGATCTGCTCAGTCACTAATATGAGGCCTTCAGCACCATACTTCTTCTTTGGCTGATTTGCTTACTTTAATCTCCTCTTTCTTTGAACCCAATAATGGTATCTGGAACCTGAGAAACCACCAGCCTTTAAACATAAAACTCAATTGTTGGGCCAGTGATTTAGCTCAGTGGTTCTGCTGCCTTACTCACAAGTGCAAGGACCCGAGTTCAATCCCTGGTACCTACCAAAAAAAAAACAAACAACAACAAACAAACCTCAATTGCTAATCTGAATTGAACTGAATTTAAAAGCAAATAATTTTGTGGGAGATTGAACCCAGGGTCTTCACAACTGAGCTACATACCCAGCCTTTTTAAATTATTTTATTTTGAGACAGGATCTCACTAAGGCACTAAGATGCCAAGGCTAGGTTGGAACTTACAATCCCCCTGTCTCAGCCTCCCAAAGTGCTGGGATTAGAGGCATGTAATCTCAGCTAAAAAACATTATTTTTTGAGAGAATAAAATGTCCTTACACATCTGATATTCGATTGTGGCATAAGTCTCTATGTTACCTCTGAATACATAGTAAAGTTTATCAACAGACCAAGTAGTTTCAGGATTTGGAAAACAGGGAAAAATGTCTAGGAGGGACCAAAAAGCCCTCTGTGGAAAAGAGAGACAACATTTTAAAGGTTAAATAGAAAAAAGAGAGCAGATATAAAGTATGATCTTGGCAGAATTTCACAGATTCACAGATCCACAGAATGGTTACTGTAACCTGTAGCACATTTTATCAGGGACTGGGTAACAACCAGCAGGGAAAGATAAAAAAGTTTGTTCTGAAAGGATAATTTGAAGGTTCTTATGACAGGTCTTCAGAGCCAGACTGTATGAAGTCTGGTGAATAATGAAAATTAGACCTTTCACCAAAAAAGGTATTGTCTCAGATTACATTATCAGCACAAAGCAGAACAGCCACCTGGGTAAACATGAGTGCACATTCACTGTGCTCTCACCTAAGTTACAGGCTGCACATATTAATCAAATAGCACTACTCCACCATCCGCTTTTCCATTACCTGTCCTACTTTGTGCCAATTTCCTTTCTCTTCCCCAACACCCCTTGCTTCACTGTTCGTCTTTAAGACATGGGATAGGGATTTGTCAAAGTCAATGAGCACTTTATTACAGTGAGAACGTTTCGTAATGAACAATTCAGCAATTTAATGAGATTCTGTAGATCTGTCTCCAGCCTGTCCATCAAGTTTCACTTCTATAAAGCACCCTGACACTAATCCTCTGGCATACCCAATCTTCACCCTGGGCTGAATATTAGATTCTTCCATGGTATATTGCATTACTAGTATAACCTCAGCAAAAATGATGAACTTAACTATACTTGAGGCAATATAGCTGGTCTGATTTGATTTTACTCTTTTGAGTTGAGTATGAGGGAATTACTTATTTACTAAGATAAAGCAAAAACAGTTTCTTATTGCCAGCTGAATGCCTAAATTGATAATACTTACATGAGTCTTTTAATTCTTTCTTAAGGACCAGGTCTTAAAAAAAACCTTTGCCTGCAGCAGAAGCCAGTTTTTAAAATTCTACATTATAACACTACTAACCTTTAGAGAGGCAATTATGAACTCTTAGGTGGACAGTATAGAATTTTCTTGACACTCAAACATCTGCACATTCCATGTGGATTGCTGGCCGTGCCTCCAACAGTGCCACGTGGAGGGGTGGCCTCAGAACTCAATTCACTTAGAAAAAACTAAATCCAGAATCCATCCTAAGTCTTTATTTTTCTACTACGAACTGAAGAAAATTCTGCTACTTTCCACTTTGAACTGACCCCAAAGTAAACTCTGATGATTTTTGGCATAAGGGAGAGGTGGATATCATTGAAATCTCTACCAAAATCTCTTTGTCACAAGTATTTTCAACTTCTTCTTAAATACATTCCAAGAAATACCCAAGAAGAAGCCAAAAATTATGACTTTTAAAAAAAATCATGACAATATGGAACAGTGGAGAAATGGGCCAGGTGTTTGCATACATGGATTTGAAGGCTGGCTCTCCTCTGTAATTCTCAGCTAGACACTGAAGCCTTATTTTGTTCATCTGGAAAATGGTCATTTTTGGGGGGTCCTGTTGTGATAATAGAGCGCTACAAGTTTCAAAGAGCCTGAGCCTAGTAAGATCCTAGGTACACTGTAGGTTTTATTCTCAAAAACAAAGAGGGAAGTTGCAGATTGAAGAAAAAAGAAAGAGGGGGGAGGAAGGAAGGGTGGGAGGGAGAGTCGGGTTCTCTAGAGTCAGATATTGATAATTAACATATATGATTCAGTTTGGGCCAAAATTATAGTACTCTCTGAATATACTAGATATCAAAGATTTACTGTCCTATCGGCCAACAGATACTTGAAACTTTTCCTTATATTTTGCATATAGCTATTTTTCAGACAATCCTGAAGGCAGAGCACTATAGAAGCAACAAAATGTCTAGGCAGTGTTTCAGACAGAGAAACTAACAGTGTTAGAGGAAGGAGGAAGATGGGCTCTATTTCCCAAAGACATTAGGTACATTATTGAAGGATAGTCACTAGGGATGAGCAGAGGGGATCTAAATTGAATAATCAACTTCCAAACACAAAATATCCTCCTGTCCCATAGACAATGTGAAAAGAATGCAATGTCAGACAAAAAGGCAGGGCTTGGGAAAACAGCAATGAATACAGAATGAACAAAGGAGGGAAATTTTTCCCACCAAAGTGCAAGGCGAGCATTACTCCACTCAAGGTCCAAGATGCTCTCTACTGCAATCAAGAAATGTTTCTGAACTGTTTACAGGAAAACCCAGAATTTATTCTGATTCTACTCATACTGAATATGCATAAATATCATTGTAAAATTCATTTTGTTCTCATATTCAGTTTCAGAAACTGAAAATGATTCTTTTTCTGAAGAAATCAATCTCTTCACTTTTTCTGATGTGAGCAGGTTAGGGCTTTGGGAAGCCACAAGGAGAATGTGAGGAATCTCACCTGCTGTCCCCTGAGCTCAGCGGCACAGTGGGCTGAGGCCTGTGTGCCTGACGTGCTGGCATTTTCAAGTCACTTATGAAGGGAGCAGGGCTTCTAAAACGTCAACCACAGAGAAAATAATGCATTGCTCCTCCATCCTTTAGCATCTATCATGTCAGACCTTCTTGATGCCAACAGAGGACCTGAGCAGAGTGCCCTTACCTGCCAGATCTGCTCCTCACTCAGGGAGGTCAGCCGGTCACTCTTCAGGACCTCCTGGAGCAGGCAATAAGGAAGCGTCAGAACATCTTCTGGGCGGCTCTTCAGGAGTTCAGAGAGATGTTTCACTAAGAAATCGATCACTGCTTTCTCCAACAAAGTGAGGTTAAAGAGGTCAGCAAGTCTGTACAGATCCAAGTAATTAAAGCTATTTAATTCCTGGATGCAAAAAAAAAAAAAAGTGAGGAAAAAAGATCTCTTAGAAATCAGTCCAACAAAGAGCAGGTAACAAATTCAGATTGACTCACTAAAGTTTTCATAACAGGGCTAGAAGGAGACTATGTTAATTTTTTTTTTTTTTTTACAGGAATGACAGTTATAAGCCCTTGGGCAGAAAACTGCTGCTATTCTAGAATTCATAAATTTTCCTCACTTTGCCCCTCTTGAAATGCGTATATTTAGACATTTCTAAAAAGGGACTTACTAAAAGGGATTTCTAGTTTTACTGGCTGAAGTATTACTTTGCAACCTTTTAGAAGTGTTTTACCAATGAAGACAATGGATTTTTCTACTCTTACCATATTCTACAGCTCTCTTTTTCTACTAAAGGTAACGTAAGGGCAGATAAACTGGGACTCATGAGTAAATGACAAAGCTTTCAGACAGACTAACTCTGCTCTTTTTCTAAAACTTCAGACTAAGTTTGACTTTAAGTAAAAATAATACATCCTGACATAATGAAATTAAAACACAGATTTTCACATGGAGAGTTTCAGGAAACAAGGAAATTTCTCAAAAAAGATTCCTGTCCTGAATAATTCAATATTAAACCCACTACAGTAGGTGATTTATAATTACTTTGTTTTTTGTTAGCCTCAAGTGCTAATACCACCAGTGGCATTCTCTCTCACCTTTTTGAAGAATTTCTATAGTGATAGCTCCATTTGGAGGAATTCTACCTGTCTCTCAAGTTCTCAAACTCATAGCCAGGGCACTGTAACAGTATCTCCTAGGGAACCTCTAATTCCCAAGGAGCCTCTAATTCCTAGTGGCACACACATCTGTCAACAGCAATGTTGCCTATTTTAGGTAGAACGAGAATGGGCTATGCCCTAGTTTCACCTCATTTTTTCCTTATAATTATTAATATACAAGCAATATATCACAACAACATAATGCAGGATGCCATGAGATAGATATTTTACTCTACTGACCTATTTAAATAATTTCAAGCTATTTTCCCTATTTTCTAGTTATCTAAGAGTACCTAGGAAAGGGAGAAGACAGGAGGGGGAAGGAAAAAGGATAAAAATGTGATATGTACATGTACCAATACCCCACTATGATTATATTCATTATGTATTGCAAACATATACTAATAAAATTTTATTTATATTTTTAAATC